AAGGATTGATTCCACTGCTGCAATCATGTTAACAGGTTTAGCGTCAGTCGTGTTGAATGAAGCTTCGTGCCTTAAAACCTGCATCTGATCCTTCGTCAGCTCCTTTGACGACAGGTTGTGCACCAGTTTGTCGTTTCTGGGCGACGTTGGATTGGGCAGCTTTCGGAATTTGTTCTCCAGTGCTGCGTCGCGTATCATTCTCTGTTCGCGGGCTTGTTCAGCTATCCTCTGCAGGAGCAGATTTGTACCGATCTCACCCATGAACTCACAGCATCTGGTCTTTTCTTGGTCAATCATATGACGGTACATACGAAGTCTCGCGTGGCAATCTTGGAGGAGCACTCGGATCATCCTTCTGCCATGTTGAAATACTGCCCGTCTCGCCAAATCTGTGTTAACCGGAGGCTTGTATGAAACACATTTCGGCAACACATTATTGTCGAGACACCTGTGCAGAAACCGGATCTGCGAATACGTGGAGGCCTCCCGAAGGGCAAAGGTTTCCCATCGCCGGGCCGATCGGAGCGCATCGCGCACAAATACATTGCCAATAGAAGCGATCGTGTCTTCTTCTTCAAGACTGCTTCCTGGGACTCGTCTTTTCGCTTCTATTGGCAATGTGCGACAATTCCCACCGACGATTGCTGCCCGTCACGAGACCTGCAGCTGGGTTGCGAGTAGGACAAAGGCGACAACACACACACCCGAGAAAAACACATGCACGTGACCAAATCCACCCAAAGCAGACACCCTGATGGCTTGGGAGACACTTAAAATAGACAGACAACAGACAGGAGAGTTTATTTTGCACAGTTACAAACTACAATAGACCGGTCATCGCCCACAGAGATGATCCTCGTTCCATCAGAGTTGTAGCGAGCACACCAGACCTGTGTTGGTAGAAAAGAGAGATGAGGCCGGTTAGACAGTAATAAGGACTAAAAGCAGATATGGAACCCTCTTCCCCCCCACCCAAAGCCTGTTGCCCCGTCACGAGACCTGCAGTTGGGTTGGGAGTAGGAAAAGGGAGACTACACACACACACACCCGAGAAGAACACATGCACGTGGCCAAACCCACCAAGAGCCACGCAGTTGAGTGTGCGAAGTGCTGCGCAAGTACGCTATCACCACCACCACCACCACCACCACCACCACCACCACCACCACCACCACCACCACCACCACCACCACCACCACCACCACCACCACCACCACCACCACCCCCACCACCACCACCACCACCACCACCACCACCACCAACTAACTCACGCACAACTCACTGTGCCTGCTCTCACACTGCTGTGGAGTACATCGTCGGACACGACGGTCGAACTGTCAAGAGTCGTCATCCAAATTCTCTTCACCCTTCCAACAGACAAATAATCGCCTTATGGGGCATGCTGTATCATAACTCCACCGTCACAAGGAAGCCAGCAGTCACTGGAATCGAGTGACGAATGAGAAATTTAGAAAACCCAGCTTGCCTGTGCGTGTTCCTCAAACAGAATCCCTCCAAGTTGTTGCGGAAGTACTAGCCCAATGCACATGCGTTTAGCAGAGACGCCGAAAAGGGCGATGTGACCATGACTTTAAAAAACGACTAAGTCCAGACCTTTTCCACACACCCAAGTGCACTTTTACAGAGGTGAATGTGACTTAAAAAACAAAGCTATACCAGCATATCCGGTAGCCAAACCCCTCGAGGGCGTACCCAACGGGTTCTCAGTCACATGAATCACTAAAAGCACATGACCACAACCTATTCCTCGTTCCATCGGTAACGAGGATAATGAGGCAAAAAGGGCATTCTGGGTGTACTTCATAGACAAAAATAAGTACATGTTAGACCAAGCTGTCCAGTGGTCTCCGAGTGTGCCTTCACTCCAAGGTCAGTTCGTGAACTTAATGACGGGGGCTACATTGGTCCACCGGTAGCGCGTCACAAACGCATCCTCTCTTGTTAAACTAGACCGCTAAAGGTCGCCTGCCCCTGGAGAATAATGAAAGAGAAGAAGGTAGCAGTCTCTTGGCTTTCAGCCAGAGTTTGGACTTACAGTCGGAGGGGAGAGAGGCATTCCAAACCGGCAGGGAGGGGGAGGAGGGAAAAAATGTCTTTCAGGTCAGCATCGACGCTAGAGGCTTTTCTGAGGGAAATGTTCTCCTCGAAGACAGCAAAGGACGCCTACTAGTTGTCGACGCAAACAAAGCAAAGTCCGATGTTAGTGGGACATCGAAATGCATGCGGTGGATAGACCCACACAGCGGCCGCTGTCTTCGTCCAACCCAGCACGACTGACTGGTCAAGGTCAAGGCGACCGGATATGAGCGCGGAAGCAGCAGCTGGTCTGATCGGAGCAAAGCCGCAAACGTGCTCGTTCCTGTGGCGGCGGAAGCCATTGAGGATGGCACATACTAGGTTAGGCCCGGTGAGGAGAAACAGAACGAAGCCGGTCGATACGCCATCATGCATACACAGGTGAATACGATAGGAGAAGCGTTGGGTGAATATAAAAGTTTTAGTAGAAAGCGGCTTGGGGTCTAGAAAGTTAACAGTCTAAGAAATAGGGGATCGGTGGGTCAGATACCAACATATCCACGGGACAGCCAGCGCGGAGCGTCATCGGTAGTTAGAAGATAGGATCACCGGGGCGGGGTGAGCAAAAACGAATACTAGCGGGAGTTCAGGGGAAGCCAGTGGCTGCGCGGGAAGGGATTGGCTACTTACAGTTAGTGCGGATAAAGTCTAGTGGAGCGCGCAACCCAAAAACCGGAAAATAAACGAACAAACACAATCTTGGTTAGTTACAACAAACAAGTGACAAAGCTCAGTTTGCTAAAAAAAAGTAATATGATAACCGAAACGAGAATGCGATAGTAAATTACGTTTCATTACTGACGTTTCCAAATGACTATCTTCAATAAAGACCGTTCACCATTTAAACAGATTCAATGACAGGCACATCTCTACCGCCATATCTAAACGACTGACGTTGCCGGACGGTCCACTGGAAGGATGGTCCTCAAACGGTGGTGGTGGAATACCTCCATTTTTCGCTCGTCCGTCATTCTCCTTGAGAATTCGTGTCGCCTCGAACTTTTCGGTCGGCAAAAATTCATGAATGTGGTCACCTTAAAGGACGATTTCGTAATTCTCTCAATCTTTCTGTTAATCACATCAAAAACATGTAGGCATTTCTTGCCTTGTTATGGTAGACGATTGCCTAAGAATGGACTCACAATTGATATTACTTAATCTAGCGAGTTGCTTAATGGCATTCTCCAGGTCGTTCAGTGACCGAAAGTATAATCCAAACATGATTTGGCAAGAGTTAAACTCAAAAAGAGTTGTGGAAGCTATCGCAGCTCGCGAGAAAACGTTCGACAAATCGCCTAATAGCCGGCGAAAACATTCCGCAAATTGCTGCCGTCATTCACTTGCGTGCGGGAAGGGAGCAGCGGCCGTCCATACTGACATTTGGTCACACAGACAATTTCCTGTATTTCTGGGGATGGTCCTTCTCGGCGATTCAAACGAACTCCGTCAGATTAAGTGATGAATCACAATCTAACTGCATAAGCCCTCGATCTTACTGACTCGGGTATGACCGAATAGAATCACAGTGAATGAAATTAATCCTCCCCCGTTGTTTTACAGCTGTCAACGCCAGCAGGCCATCATCAACACCAAAATAAATCTAACTTGGTGGTCGTTAACATCCCCCCCCCCGGTGAGGAGATCGCATGAGCATACCCCGTCATCCTATAAATAACTGCGACCTTCGGTATGTTTCCGTCCTACCACAGTGAACCACAGACACAACTGGCCGAAAGGCCAACCGCATCTGACTTATCAATATCACACGGAGTGGGACTTGCTGGAATTCGCGAAATGGCCAGGCCTTCACTGCCCAGGGGGGATGGCGTAAAGAATTATGGGTGTGTCTGACGACGCAACCAATAATGTGCGACAATTCCCACCGACGATTGCTGCCCGTCACGAGACCTGCAGTTGGGTTGCGAGTAGGACAAGGCAGACTACACACACCCGAGCCAAACACATGCACGTGACCAAACCCGCCCAAAGCAGACACCCTGATGGCTTGGAAGACACTTAAAATAGACAGACAACAGACAGGAGAGTTTATTTTGCACAGTTACAAACTACAATAGACCGGTCATCGCCCACAGAGATGATCCTCGTTCCATCAGAGTTGTAGCGAGCACACCAGACCTGTGTTGGCAGAGAAGAGAGATGAGGCCGGTTAGACAGTAATAAGGACTAAAAGCAGATATGGAACCCTCTTCCCCCCCCCACCCCAAGCGTTGATTACGTGCCTTCTAGGTCATACACATTTCACTACCACCAGGGCACAATATCGTACGTGCGCTCAGATCGGAGGACGAAATAAGGACGTTCCGTCTTGCATGGAGTCCCCTCTGTAGTGCAATGCAACGTCTAGGAGTATTACCGAGGTAGTCATGGGAGACTGAAATAGTCACCTCTGGGTTATTTGCCCTCATAGGCTAACCATACGTAGAGCCCAGCCAAGAAGTAGTTGAAATTTGATAGTAATTACAGTTGACCACTGGGTCTGACACTCCACCAGTTGTGCCATGGGCCCATGCACCGTCGTTGTGCTATGGCGTGATCCTTTGAATGACGGCGACGGCCATGCGGAGATAAAAACAAAAAACAGATCTAGATCTACACCGTTGATCGTAATCCTTCTAAATTGACCTTTGGAGGGGGGGGAGGGGTTCTCTGTGTGTTCCAGTATCCACCTCTCGGTGAAGGAAGTCTTCGGCAGATGTCAACAAACATAGCTAACTACTCTGTGAGAGTCAGAATTTATGGTTTGTGAGCGTCCGCTATGCCATTTTTCAGCAAACCATCACGCTCGCAGACAGGTGTGCGCTGGCAGCTCCCTGGCATCTGGTTCCCTGCCGGTAGACGCGATTGCACTTCCGCTGGCTATACCGGGTGTGAGCATGGCTGTCCAGTCATTCTCGTCGTCTTTCTGACCCGTTGTTGTGTTGTTGAGATCCGATAACAAGTACAGATGGTTACTGAGGTTGACACTCCGTCAGCTGTTCCATGGGCCCATGCACTGTTGTGCTCGGGTGTGATGCCTCGAGTGAGGGCAGTGTTCAACAATCTGGCCTTGATTTCGGGATGGGGTCGAGATTTTTAGTCCTGTGTGGCTGGACAGACAGAGGGGTAGTAGTGAGGTACTTCATGCCTCCCCCCTCCTCCTCACCTGCCACTAAAGTTGTCCGGAGTGGTCAACTAATGATTTCCTTGTCCGCAACAACGCTGACCCGGGCAACCGCCATAAGAGATAATTTGCTGTGAGACACACACAATCCGACCTGCGCCAGCTGCCCCACAGCAAAGTGGGCAAATCCCCACTGGCTTGGGTTTGAATTAGTTTACGGACTTGCACAGCGTCTGCTGCACTCGCTTCCTCCTACCTATCGCCCCCTCAGAGGAGAAGACGGTGCCAAGACCAGCGGGAGGTGGGTACGATGCAGTAGCTGACAGGGTCACACAGCCCGTCTACACGTGCCACACACGATCTGACCGTGCGAACCAGGCGACCGCGAGGGCGGCCAGAATTTCGCAGAGGCTCCTCTTCGCTGCTACCGACAAACAATAGTAACAACAACAAGAAGGTGTCAGGACAGTGCATCCAAACAGAAGACATAACAACTCGCCTGGTCTTCGTGCTCCCGGAAGGTGTGTTCCTCAGCCCTGGAGGAGAGGTCCCACACGCGTACTGTGTGGTCCGTGGAGGAGGTTAGAAGGTGCCGATTGTCTGGGCTGAACATGGCCGACACAACCCAGCCGTTGTGTCCGTTTAAGCTGGACACAACTAGACGGCCATCATGTCTACATAGATGCGGAAACGGCGAAGGGCGGTTAGAAGCAATGTGCAGTCGAAGAGGAAAGACAAGACTAACCTCACTGAAGAAAAAGTTAATTTAGGGTATTCAATTCACTCTCAATAAAAATACTAGAAGAGAATGAAGGAGGCGACAACGAAGACCGCTATCATAATCCCAGAGAAGCAGTGGCGAATTCTGTGAGGGCAACCTATACAATACCGAAATCGCACCCTGTTGCAATAGGATGACTAAGTACTTGTACTTCCTTGGTACGGCTGCGAGCATGCCTGATCTAGTCGATCTGCGATAGCAGATCTGAACAGTTTAACTCATATTCTTCGCCAACGACGGAGACCGAGTACGGAAAGTCCAAGAACCACCTCCATGTCTTGACGAACTGTGTCGGGCAAGGTTTTGAGTTGACCCCCTCTCCGACGCCTCCAGTGGGGCAACGGTGCCGGATCGAGGGCAGTAACACCGAACTGCTGAGGTGGACGACGAAGAACATGCCCAAACTACCTCAGTAATCTCAGTTTTGGATAGCCTGGGTTCTCCATGCGATGTTGTC